AAGAGGCATGGGTTCAATGCCCACCAAGAGAATAGAGATCAAGGTACCATGGGTACTTTTCCAAGTCTTAAAAAGTGGTTCAGGTATAAACATAACCCAAAGAATTATTATGCATTTTTATTAGGTTTTCAGCAGTGTTTTTAAGCTGAGCCCTAGTCATTTTTCCATGAACAAATGCACCAATAAATAAGTCATCAGAAATTATACAACTTTTAATGAATTCAAAGACTCAGAACTGTTCAAATATTTCTAAAGCCACCTAAAGAATGGAATGAAAAACCAAAAGATGTAAGTTCAACTACAATATAACTTAAGAACTGACATACAACAATGTCAACTATGGAATAGCAGGGGGGAAAATCTGCAAATCAGAAACTTCCCATCCAAGGGGGCTAAGTGGGACACTCAACAAAGATCGCAACCTCTCCTTGTCATGACAGAAAAAGGAGAACCATATAAGAATTTCCAGTCAAAAGTTCATGGACAGTACTCCTTAAACCCTGATTCATACTATTCATGACAGCTTTAAAAAACTCCTTTATTCGGGGACTGGGGAGATGGCTCAGTAAAATGAGCGCTTCCCTGGCAAGTGCAAGGGCCTGAGTTCAATCCCTGGTTCCGAAGGAAAAAACAAACAAACAAAAAAAAAAAACCAACTCCTTTATTCGAATTAGGTTTTTGTTACAAAAACAGAATTCCCTTGATTCAGAGAAAAGGAAACTAAAAGGAATCAGTCATTTATGCTTTAAAGCAAATTCATGTACATTTTTGAGTCTCTAATGGGATTAAACTCGAATTAGGAAAGTCATTAGCAGAAATAAAATAAAGTTCTCTGACGCACGGTGCCAGGTGTGACAGTGTCCACCCTTAATCCTAGCACTTGGGAGGCTGAGGCAGAAGGATCTCTGCTCAGTTTAAGGCCAGCCTTAACTATACAGTGAGACCCTGTCTCAAAAAGACAAAAAAACTGTTTTCAGATGCACAACAGTTACTCAAGCATAAGCAAAACCATATACATTTTCAATGTTATGGATATAAATTCTGATGTAGCCACTTAGTAAAACAATCCAATGTTTTTGGCTTACAGGTAGCGCTGGGTGTGGAGTTCAGTCTCTCAGTGTGTACTTCTAAAGAGAATTAAATACTAGTAGCATTATTATGTGGCCTACAGATGCATGCCAACATACACTTACCCATAACGAGCTCAGAAACCCACTTTCCGGGGTAAGAGCAAAACCATACTAAGTCTAACAAACTGAAGTGATTAAGCAAGCAGCTAAATGTCTTTTCCTTCTCCCCTTAACCCGGTTTTTGCCATCAGGTTAAGTGAGTTTTCCAGAGTTCCAAACCCCTCGCTCGGCCTTTAACAGGAGAAAGCACCACAGGCCTTCAAGCTGGAGGATGCGGGGTGGGGGCGGTGACGCTCCCTTCCACTCAAGTTACAGCCCGAGTGGGCTAAGTACGGGGCAGTATTTGGAAAACCAATTAACTTTCGGACGAAGTTCCTCCACCCGCGTAGCCCGAAGCAAGTTCTAACAGAAAGGGGGAGGGGGCCTAGGCGGAAGAAGGCAGCGAGCACGCATCGGAATGTTAAGACTTTCACCAAGTTTCGCTTCAACGCTGAATCAAACTGGCAAAATAACCGAACGTTCTGGAAGTGGAAAAGCAGCCGTAGTCACATCCTCAGCAGGAATTAAAAAGCAATGGAGATCTTAGAATTAGTCACCGCTTCCCAAACACCAACTTTTAATCACAGCTGAACTGGGCAGGACCAGGCCTGTGAGTCAACCTGCAGCGTATTATCAAAGGCTTGGGGGCAAACCTCGCCGCAGTAAAGCGCGACCCAGGTCCTGCGCGGCGCCCAGATGTGGCTATTTAAAAGCGCTTCAGAGGGTGTAAATAACAGCCTGCGCGCGCCGGGGGCACACGCGACCCCCCGCGGCCCGGAGCCGCTCCCCCGAGACCCGGGCGGGAGAAGCGCCGGCCGACCGGCGCCCGGCACGACTTCCAGGCAAGTCTGCGCCGGGAGCCGGCGGCCACGGACGCCCGGCCGAAGGGCAGGGCTGGGGGCTCGGC